ATAAAAACATTATAGTGTGTCATCATTTATGTTATTCGCTGGATCTGGCACCATGTAACTTCTGGCTCTTCCCCAAAGTCAGAATGACTGTGAAATGTAAATGTTTTCAATTTATTCAGGCATTGAGGCTACCATGACAACACAACAAGACACTCAAGAAAAAGGACTTCCAGAGCTGCTTTAGAAAGTTTAAGAATGATGGGATAAGTGTGTTCAAAGCAAGGGGGAAGTCTTCTGAGGAGGATTCCTGACAATGAGTTTTTCTTGCTGTAATCTATAAACATTTGCTGTATTTTTTAGAACACCTCATATGTTTGGCTAAGATATCTAAAGTATTCTTTACTTCCTGTTCATCAGATGTAATCAGCATGACGTTGACAGTGCAATGGGCTGATACAAGGTTGTGTGGAACGTGAAGATGATCATGATCTTTTCCAAGCCTGTTACAGCAGCTAGGACAGCTGAGGAAATCCTGAGGCTGCACTTGGAGTATTACTGTGGGTCAGCCCTGGTCAATACACACTACTTCTGTACGTCCCCACCTGGAGGAAAAGACTTTCTTTTCATGTCAATACCTGCATAGCCCATGCCAGGGCTGTGGTTTGCTCCATTAAAGACACTGGAACATCAGTGATAGTTGAGCTTGCCACCTGAATTAGTTTAAGATAATAATGTGTAATTAATCTAATCATTCTCCAGGATCTGTCTGCTTTCCCCGTAGGACAAACAAGTGAGCTAAATGGGGGGATGGCAAGTATCACCATCCAAGCTTTTCCCAGGTCTCTGACGATGGTATTCATCTTCAAGAGTCCCCCACAGATCTAGTATTATTTTAGCTAAACTGTCCTTGTATTGAGGCACTTCTATTTTGTTTTTCTCATGGTTCCTCAGGCTGGAGTGTCCATGTGGGAATTCTGCCTGTTGTCAAAGTGATTATTTCCAGTTGGGCATGCACAAACTGGAGAAAGAATCTACAGATTTATTGGGACTACAGTGATTTAAACATGGACTAAGATTCCAACTATCTTTAGCCACCAGAAGCCACCATGTTCATTGGTAAAACAGTGGCATTTTGTATCTCTAGGGATCAGTGTCTAATAAATCCTACTGTCGGCAGAATTTCATCCCCCGCGTCCTCTGAGGCCTGGTGTCAAGCCCACAAATATGTCACGTTACTTGACAAAAGGGACATTTTGGATGTAATTGAAGTTACTAATCAGCACCAAGATCGGGAGAGCACCCTGGGTTGTGTAGCTGAGCCCAGTATAATCAAGAGCATACCGGGCTGGGGATTTAGCTCAGTGGTTTCGCTGCCTGCTACGCAAGCGCAAGGACCCGAGTTTGATCCCCGGTACCAAAAAAAAAAAGAGCATAGCAGTTTTCCCAGCTGAGAGTGGGGAGGAAGTTAAGGCGATGCTACAGAAAGAGAAGCTAGAGAAGTTAAAAATATAAAAAAGACTTGACCTGTTATTGCTGTTTTGAAGCTGGATGGGGTTTTGTGAAAAGAAGAGAAGGAAACAAATCTGCCAAAAAAACAGTGAGCTTGGAAGAAGTCCCAGGACCCAGATGAGAATCAGTCAACTGACTTTTCAATTGTGCAGCCCACACAAAGACATTTAGTGTTCACTTGAGGCAGCATCAGTCCTGTGGTGACAGGAAACAAATGATCCTTTAGAACTTTCATAAAATCTTTTATGTGTCTCTCATTATGACTTCATCTCAGATATTAAGATCTCAAGTTTATTTTGTTTTAGAAAGTGCTGCAGTACAGTCGGAAGAAGACATCCTCCTCAGGGTCTCTTGTATTCATCGTGACTGTTGTAAGAGACAAGAGCAGCACCACTTGGGCCCCCTAGCCATTTGCTTCAGTAGGTGCTTTATCTAAAAACCAACTAAAGTAATAATTGTGGTACTCTTGAGTGCCATACATCCCGTTTCCTGTTAGTCAGAAGTTTAGTCCTGTATGCAAGCTCAGGATCTCTATGCAAGCAACCAGCATTCCCTTCTCGAAGGTCTACTTCTGGGACCATGTCTGGTACAAACTCTTCTGTCACTTGGAGTCCAGGGAAAACCAAAATCCAGTCATTCCAGCAAAGAGAATTTAATATATAAAGAATGATTTCCTAGGCATAAAAGTTTTGACCAGTAATTAAATGATTGAAAGGAAGATTCTAACCTAATCATGGAAATAGAAACTATAAGGAGGAAAGATTCCGGAGCTATTAAAATGTGTAAGTTTATAGGCCAGGTCCTGCAGAGCTGGCATTCACGTTTCTTCTTGGCACATCTTGGTGAGCTGAACTTGAGGACAGTCCCCAGGGGCCTAGGATTCAGGACTTTGAAGATGGGGTGCTGGCAGGCTTGAGCAAGGTCCACCATGGGGCAACTTGGAAAGCAGGAATATAATTTGCAGTGCGTGACCACCAGCATGACCAAGCTGAATGGAGAAGCAGGGCATGGAGCTGTGGGACAATAACCAAACAACCAGAAAAGAGTGACTTCATGCTGAAGCCCGTAGCTTCTGAAGTAGCCATTTTAAAATCTTATGAACTTGACTCCTTTTCCTTATTTTTAATTCCTTACCTCAATTCTCTCTTCATGGATTTTGGAGTCAGATAGAGTTGGGTCAGATGTCCTTTATTTTTTTCTTCTGAGTTATGTGACTGTAAGCAAGCTATGCGACATTTTTAGACTTATTTTCTCTGTGTGCGTACACCACAGTCGTGTTCATCACAGCCCTGGTGTAAGTGTAACATGAAACGCAGTCCACGTGAACAACTAATGCTGAGTGCAGGCAGAGGCACAGCCTAGGGCCCATACAAGGCCCTGTTGGCTCGGCTCTCACCTCCCCCTTCTTCCTCTTTTTGGCCTCATGTTCCTCAGATATTTTCATTGTGTCTTCTCTCTTCTATTTTTTTCTTTTCTGTCCCTTTTCATTATTTTTCGACCTTTTAGTACCTTAATCCACCTCTACCTCCCACCCCTTTGTTGACTATGGATCCCAAGATCAATAATCCTCAATCAAAGAAATTCTCCCCTTATTTGCTTTGGTATTTGACATGTATGCCCTTTTCCCACCACTGACCTCTCTGGGCACCTCCTGTCTTCTTGAGTGTCATATACTGCCTGTTGCATCAGGTAAGAATTAGAATTGTTCTATCTTTCCAGTTTTGGAAAACCCAACAAATATTGGCTTGATGAAATAGAGATTGCTCTTCTCCCAGGTAGCTGCTAGCAATGTCTCTTCCATTCTCATGTGGTTTCGTGGCTGCAGGCTTCAGATCTATGTTTTAAGTAGGGAGAGTTGGGGTGACAGAAGTGCGACCACTGTTGATGCACCCACTTTTATCTAAGAATGGATGATTTCTCAAAAAGCCCAGCTGACTATGTATGGTTGGGTCCCGTCGGACAGCCCTGTGTCTCTCTCTTTCTGGGACTTGAGTTAATTCATAAGCTTGCATTCCACCGTTGGACTACATGCATCTCTAGGGCACCGTGGGCAGGAAGCTTTGGTAAATTTCTGCTGTCTCATAGTGTTCCCTTTTACAGGGAGCCAGACAGTTGGGATTATATAGTATGTAGCCTTTTGAGGCTGGTGTTTTCACTTAGCAATATGCATTTTTAAGCTTCCCCATGTATTTTCATAGGTTACGAGCACATTTATTTTCATCACTGAATAGGATTCCATTGGATTCCCAAGTTTATCTGTTCACCGATTGAAGGGCATCTTGTTTCCTTCCAATTTGTGACAATTGCAAATGACATTGCTAGAAGCGTTCACGTGCAGCTCACTTGGGTAAAGACTCAAGAGCACCATAGGTGGCTGTATGGTAAAAGTACGTTTAGTTTGGTAAGAAACTGCCAAACTGTCTTGCAGAGTGGCTGTAGCATTTGGTGTTCCCACCAGCAATGACCGAGAGTTCTGTGGCTCCACGTCCCTCCAGGATTTGCTGTTCTCACTGCTTTGGGTTTAGCTTTCTCGTAAGTGTACTCATGACCGTTAAAACTAATTCCAAAACCCACACAAACCTTTCCTTAATGCTGCCTCTGTCATACAGTAAGTGATCTCTTCCCCTTTGAAATCTGATGTGTGGCCCTTCTGGATTCTTCTTGCAGTCCACAGACCTAAAATACTACTTTGCATCGCAGGAGCAAGCCCACGCCTCTAGAAGTTTCCTGCAAATTCCCAAGGCACCACTTCCGCCGTTTGTCGGCTTGTAGGCTGTTTTCCATCTTCATGTGAATCAACCCAGACTCAAAACTCCACTCCTTCCCTGTTTTTCACACAAAAGCTAACCCATCCCGAGAATTATATGAGTTTGTTAACTTAAAGGGGAAGAATCACATAACAAAGGTCAGGATCTCTTGACCATGTCTCACTTTTCTTCTCTTTTTTCTTCTCTTTCTAGATAAAAATCATTCCTCTCTGTCTCATGTGTAATTGTTTAACATCTTTCTCTTAAGCTCTTGTGGTTCTCTTAGCTTTTGTGGTTGCATGTCCCACAGGGATGTACTCTATTGTAATTAGGCCTATCAAGACACATTAAGCACTAAGCCATCTGGCCACCTAGGAGGAATTCTGCTATGGACAGCTGAGAGAATACAGTTTGTCTTCTCTTATTGTATGTAGCTATTTTTACACATATTTTTTCCTCTCAGGATAGTAAGGTCCTGAGGCATAAGAATTAATTCTGCACCTTTTTGATCTCCACCATCTTGGCTTTAGAAGTAGTACTCACTACATTTATTATTGAATAAGTGAATGGTACAGTATGTATGACTTCAATCTTTTTTTTTTTTTTTTTTGGTACCAAGGATTGAACTTGGGACCTTGCACTTTTGAGGCGGGTGCCAGAACCACTGAGCTAAATCCCTGGCCCTTTCAATCTTCTTTAAAAGACTAACAAAGTAATCCTTTTATGTCGACATACTTAAATTAAAACAGCAGATATCTAAGTAGAAACACAAAGCACTATTTCTTTGCCCACTGTGTAACCTTTATTGAGACACGTCAGAAAACACAGTACTACAAATAAAATTAACATAGCCAACAGGCAAGACTGTTATGATCCTGAAATCAGGGGCTGGATCAGCTGTTGCAGTGTAGAAAGATCCGGCCTACTTCTTAGAGGCTGCATGTTGAGTGAAAAGTTTCCATTCCCTCTGGCGACTTGAGGAAGGTCTTTTGGCTATACTCTGGCATCTCTGATATAAATAGATAATAGGAGGAAAAATAGAGTTGTGGACAATTCTTATGGAAAGAATTCTACAATATGTTGGCAATTTTTGAGCATCAGAAATAGTACATCCAAAGCATTTGACAATCACACAGTGGATTCACAGCATTTCTGTGTTCACAGTGGTCACGGTATTCATTATAGAAGGGAATCAGATGGAACTGTGATGCTCATATTCTCGGTGCCCCCATAGTAGAAAATGAAATAGAGGTCTAAGAACTTGCTAGTGGTCTGGGGGTGGTCAAAGAGGTGAACAATTCAGAGACACTGTGTTGTGGGTAATCGAAAATTAGCAACCTGCCTCTTAAAAGGTGGGCTCACAGCAGTAGCAGCAGCAGGCCGGGCGGCAGCAGGACTGTCCACAGTAGGATGGGCGGCAGCAGGAGGCCTGGGCATGGTGCAGCTGGCAGCAGGTTGGGGGCGTGCAGCTCACCATGCAGCATGGGGGCAGGCAGGTGCCCTCCACATGGCAGTCTGGGTGGCACCACCTGGTGCGGCAGCTCACGGCACTGCTGCCACCCTCCTGGCCAAAACTGATGCCACCCCCAATGCCATAGCCAGTGCCAATGCAGCTTGGCTCCTGGCAGCTGGAGCCACAGATGCCACCAGTGGAGCAGCTGGGAAGTCCGCAGAAGCTAGTGGAGCAGCCAGCCATGGTGTAGGGAGCTGGGTTGAGCTGGGTTGCTTGGAGAAGCGGAGAGCTTTCTGAGCTTTGGAGGTGACGTCCACGTGGGCCCTTTTATATACCTAAGCCAGACACTCTTTATAGAATTCTTCACATATTTTTCTTGTTTTTGTTTCAATTTATTCCTCAGTTGTCTTCTGATTGGCTCACTTTGAAATACTTTTGACTATTATGAGCAGCACTTTGAAAATGGCTTACTTTATAAGGTCACAGGGCCTCCTTGTATCAGCCCTTAGCTCTTTAGAATATGCTTGTGGTTTCCAGTGTTCAAAGAGTCCTCCTGTTTTACATCAAGTCAACGCCCTCTTTCCAAGTAGTAGTCATTCCATGCGACAATCTGTTCAGACCTTAAAGCTGAGGGTAATTTTTGTGCTCTGTTTAAGTATTATTTTTTTCCCTCCTGGATAGACAGATCAAATTCCATTGAATCTAGAACACCAGACTATTCACTAAAGGGCCACAGTATCTTTGGTCATGTGTAATCAAAACGTCCACCTCATCCACTTCAGCATCATATCAAATTACCATTATAGTTCCTTTGGTTTCAGCCAATTTGAAATGTGAAAATATTGTTTGTGTTCTAGGCCCAAAATCTTTTCTTGTGAACCAAATGGTCTAAGGAATAAGAACATGTCTAGCGTGATGCTTAGCTTCTGGTAGAATTAAAAAATATATTTACTGAATCTAATTCAATGAATGTATATTACATGGGTGGAGTAAAAGGCATGATTCACAGGTTCCTGTACAACTCATAAAGGATTAAATAGAATTTCCAAGCTACAGTGTCTCATGAAGGGGACTTGTTATTTGCTCTGAAGAGAGACTGGGAAATGCTGGATTATTTTTATCTGAATTTGCTAGCTGAACCAAGACAGAAAAAAGACATCTAGGAGATATGATGTTTTGACAACTGTACCACCACCTGCTTAGGTCTTTTCTGAAATTTATTATTTTGTGTGTGATCCATCCAGGGTAAGTGCTGGGAGCTTGTGAAGAACTTTAGAAGTGTTTTCATAGTTTTCCTGTATTTATGTCCTGTTACTGTATTTTATACATTGCACTCAAATGCTTGAAGAAGAATTTGGAAATTAATAGTAAAGCCTATTTCTTTCTGTTCCTCTTAAGAAAACTTATTTTCCAATTGGTCTGCAAAGCATGATATAGCTGTTTCGGATTTCTAATTTGTCTGTCTGACGTGGTCACTAGGTATGCCACAGAGCTGTGTGTCCTACTGCCATCTAGACCAGAGTTACACCATGTACACGCAATAATAATGAGAGCTGAACCCCAGCCATGTGGGGAACAGGGGGAGGAAAGAGGCAGGCTACTATATAGGAATTAAATCTTGGAAAATAAATGGCATTTGGTAGATATTTTCAAATCTATTTAACAGGTATTACAATTTTGAATGTTGGTGTGAAGGAAGGTGATAATCTAGTATGTTATATGATAAGAAATTACAGAAGTACATTTAGGCAGGAACCTATTGCTTTGATCAGCCTGAACATTTTAACTAAAAGTGGCTGTATTGGTCTAGACTAATTATAATAGGTCAGAGTATGGAATTATTTGAATAACTATGACAATTATGGGAATGTATGGAACATTTTATCAGTGGACAGATTCAAACATGGTTTAATTTGGATTTAATCTTCCTTGTTTAGGTGATATGTTTATGGCTCAAGATTACTATCAAAATGTAAAGCTCTCTTCTTGATTCCCAGGGGTAGTTGGATATGGGTAGAAGCAAAAGAAAGACACGATCCTGCTTGCTTTGCACATCTGAGAGTTTTATTTAACAGTAATAAGGGCTGTTTAAGTGGAAAGCAGATTTGAAGATGCACAGAGATCAAGAGACAGGGAGGGAGCCGAGATGCCACGGAAAGGAAGACCTGCCCATTGTGTTGCCTGCTGCAGCAAGGCAGGATCTGCAGAGCACAGTGACTGATCCGTGGTTTCAGTGAGCCAGATCAGCACATCTGTGAGAGGCCAACTAAGGGTTGTGCTATTTGTGAGCAGCTTATCAGCATGGCCATACAGGTTGAGTGGAAGGAACACTTCTTAGGAGACTGTCAGATGTGCTTTGCTCCCCTTTCATCCTTGAGTAATCAGCAGCTTGGTCCTTAACAGGTGGGCTGGCAGCAGGTGGTTTAGCAGCAGGTGGGCTGGCAGCATGTGGGCTGGCAGCAGGTGGGCTCACTGCAGGTGGGCTGGCAGCTGGTGGGCTCACAGCAGTAGCAGCAGCAGGCCGGGCGGCAGCAGGACTGTCCACAGTAGGATGGGCGGCAGCAGGAGGCCTGGGCATGGTGCAGCT